AGGAATGTTCCGAGTGTTTTCTCAGGAGTTTCTTTTAAAAATTTAATTTGAATAATTTAGTTAAAATTATACGTCTGTAACACCTTCCCCCTTAAGTCATACGTGGTAACGTGATACATTATGTTGCCACGTATGAGCCTTATAAGCTTGAAAAATGTCTCTACTATTATGAATTAGGGTTTAAATTGGAATTGTCTAAAAAAAATAAACGGGAATATATTGAAAATATTAATCAATAACCCTTTAATGAAAATATTGATGAAATTAAAATACTTAATAAATATTTAATATTTCCCACTTATTTCTTTTTCTTCTTTTTTTTTCTTCTTTTTTTTAAAAGTATTTAAAGATTATATTTAATATATATATATTTATTTGTAAAACATAATCTAAATTATTAGTTATCTGATATAATATGATTTTTATAAAATATGATCTATATATGATATATAAAATATAATATAAAGTATTTTTTATTTTTTTTAATAATGTTTTTGTGATATAATATGATATAATATGATTATGGTATATAAATTATAATTTTGTATATATGGTATATAAAGTTTAACATGGTATATATGGTTTATAAAGTATAAAAGTATAATAATATAATATAAATATAACATTGTATGATTTTTAAGTATAATATGGTATATAGTGCAAGGTATGATGATTTGATTTTTTTTTAAATTTGGATTTACAATTTTCTTTTTTTTTTTAATATCTTTTAAACATCTCGGTTTCATAATTCATTTTCGCATTTTCCCTGGTATTAAACATTTCTTCATTGACTAACAATAAGTACTCCTCTATACAGTCTCTACACTGATGGGCTGGTCTTGCCCCCATCAGTTCCTTTTTACACTGTATGCAGGATAATTTATGTTCCCAACTTAATCTATGTAATCTTGATGTTATAGAATGATAATTTTCCTTAAATACGTACGGATCTATTCCTCTAAATCGTCTTACAAAATAACATTCCACACACAATTTCGTCCACGTATAATATTTGGACACATATATCGGCTCGTTGACAATTTTTGTTAAACAACTGCTTCTTAGCAGCATCCAATAGGTTTCTGAATGGTCTTGGGGTCTTGCCCCGTCGATTGGTCCCTCCTCTATGCTTCTAATTGGTGGTCTCATTTTCTAAATTATTTATTTTTAATTAATTAAAATTTTTTGAAAAAAATTTCTAAATTTTGATTATTATTTATTATTTTTTTAATAATTTCTAAATTTTGTGTATATATTAATTTACCTTTAAAGTTGCTGAATTTTCCTTATAAACTTTCTTTGATTTAATTCTGAACGTACTTCGATTGCCTTTCAGAACGTACTGATCGTAGCCAGTATTGTTACCGGGTCGATACTTATTAATGTAATCCTATCCTGACTATCCCTACCAAGACAGGTGCTATATACCGAGTGTCGTTTAATCTTATTCCTTTTTTTATATGTTTTTTTTGTGATATATATATTTTATAATGATTGACTTATAAAATAAAGATTACAATAATTTCTTATAAAGTAATGATTATAATGTTTTATATATGTGATTGATATCTTCAAGCATGGTGTTTTCGTTTAAAATTTGATTATTATAATCGCGGGTAAATGCTTTGAGTTTCATTGTGGATAATAATTTTTTTCTTTTCATTTTCTATTGAGATTATATCGTTTTGTTGTTTAATGTTTTCTGTTAATGTTAATGTTGGTTTGGTGTTTTCTTCATTTGTTTGAATTGAGATTTCTTGAGTTTCTTGAGTTTTAGGTTGAGTTGTAGGTTGTTCTTCCTTTTGTTCTTTTTCCTTAATTGTTCTTCCATTGCCTAGGTGAATTAATAAATTTGTTACTGAGTCCCATAGCGCTCCGATTAAATGTATAGACCATCCGTATATAGTATGAATTGCATAACCGTGTATAATTGTGTCCATTATTAGTTTCATCGTTCTAAATAGGAAATATATTCCAATTACTCCGGCACTTGTGTTTCCAACAAATGTAAATGTTCCCCAAATTTTCTTCCAAGTGTCTTCGGTTATTTTCTTCAATGAATTTTCATCAAGTAGGTGTGAAAGAGATATTCCTTGCGTTAAGGTTGGCTCTCCTCTTACGCCTCGAGCCATAGTGTTTAGAATTCCGTTCTTCTCTGCTGGAAACATGATATGATCTCGTAAATTTTCGAGCTCGTTGTTTGAGTATATGCCGCTCGCTGCCAATGATTCGGGATCGCTGTAATGCCAAGTTGGCTGAGACATCGGTCTCATTGTTTCTGGAGGTTTGCTGTATTCCAAAATTGGTGCTATATGATACCATCCGTCGTTTAATAAATACATTGTTGGAATGATCTTGTTGCATGATGTCTGGCTTCCAGTTTTAAAAAGTATATGTGTTCTTGGAACCAAAAAGTATGATTCGTTTCCTTTGAATACTGGTAACTGCTGGTAACATTCCTGGGTGTGTCGAATTTTTACTTCCACAGGAGTGCATTTGATGATATGTACAACTTCTCCCGAAATCACTGCCATAAATCCTGGTCCTTTCATAATTTGATAGGCAAAGTCGTCAGGTGCATGAATTGCAAGGCTGAGTGCGTTCTTCATTACTCTTCGTTCCAAATTGCAGCGTTGTTTGAGTACATCTGTGTATAGGTGATTAATTTGTGTGCGAATGTGTTTTTCTACATAAACGAATTTTGAGTTGACGTATGCAAAAATATCTAAATTTTCTACCGAAATTTTTCGTTTTTTGTTTAAAGATTCTCCGCTTTTAATTTCTAGAATTACTAGTTTAGGATGTTCTGTTTTAATTAAAGTATATCCACAAAGAAGCTCTTCACCTGTTTGTGATAAAGCGAAAGTTACGTCCTGAGTTGACAAGGAATAAATAATTTGTAATTTTTCATTAATTTCACTGACCATCTTATTTGCTTTTCCTTCATACAAAATGTCATAATGGTTAAATTTGCAATGATCATTAGGTATTGTTTCCCAAAATGTATATCTTCCTTCGATATCTATGCAATTTTCATCTGAATATTGACAAATAGTTCCTGTTTTTAAATTTATTTTATTTGTTTCAATATTAATAGTTGCTTCATAAGAATGTAGACTTATTGTAATTATTCCTTGCACAACTACATTTTGCCAAGTCCCATATGGGTCCGAATACTGAGTTTCGATACATTGTCCATCTGTTGTTACAGATCCTGCTAAAGTTATTGGTCGCGATGTTGTATAATTTGTTTTTAATCCGTTTATGATACTGTTAAAATTTAAAACTAGACTTCCTGTCTTATGCATGTTCTTACATTGATCTAGAGTTGTATCAAGTATATATTCTGCTTGCGCATTTGTTACAGTTGAAATATGCGAATGCATTCCGCAATAATAAATTGTTCTAGCAATAGAAATTTTACATTGTATGACCTTTGTTGATTCGAATTTTGACAATTGTAGCAGTTGAATATTTGTTTCTTGTACATGTGGTTGAATTACGGGTATATTACATTCTTCGATATCCAATAATGATATAGTTGTTACGTTGAGATTGGTTGTTCCACAGTCATATCCGATGATTCCTTAGGTTTCTTCAATGTGGAAGATCCAGATGATAAAGATGTAGATTAAATTCTTCATTCTTGCTTCTATATTTTAAATACAGTTTAAAAATTTCATTAGTTAAAAAAAATTAATTTTTCTTTTTCTTACGTACTTTGTTGGGATGAACAATTTTTAATTTTCCTTTAACAAGTAGCTTAATATTTCCGTTAGATAAAATATCAGTTATTATATGTGGCCCCGAATATTGGTCTCCTAATTTTCCCTTTTTGGGTTCACTTAAAAGAAAAACTTCATCATTTATTTGAAATTCTTCAGGATTAAGTTTTCTATCATAATAAAATTTTGATTTAATTTTAGATGCAATTAAACATTCTCGTAAATTCTTGTAAATTATGAATTTTTGTCATTAATTCAGTTAGATAATCATCATACTTTCTTTCTTTTTCATCGTCAATTATTTCACTAGAAGGTTGTCTAGCTAATTTTCCAAATACCAACTCGTATGGAGTATATCCAGTTGATTCATGTGTGCTTGTATTATATGAGAAGGTTGCAAATTCTAATAATTCATCCCATTCAGTGAATTTATTAACATATTGTTTTAAATATTCTATTAATACTATATGTGATCTTTCTAATGCTCCATTGGCTTGTGGATAAAAAGCTGTGGTTTTATATTGTTTAATCTTGAATTGTTTAGTGAAGCGTTTCATTAAATTACTCATAAAATTTGTTCCTCTATCTGATAATATTATTTTGGGGGCTCCAAAAAGACAAATAAAGTATTTTAGTAATGCGTCAGCAACTTGCACAGCAGTTATGGATTGCAAAGGGATCGCCAAGGAAAACTTGGTTAAGTGATCTTGGATTGTTAAAATATAGGAATTTCCTTTGGAAGTTTCAGGTAAAGGTCCTACTATATCCATTGATATTTTTTCGAAAGACGAAAAAGGTGTATCCGTGATTATCA